TCACTGGCCCAGGGTTGACTCAGCCTTCCAACCTTCCAAGATGGGTAAAATGAGGACCCGGATTGTTGTTGGGGGCAATATGCTGACTCTGTAAACTGCTTAGAGAGGGCTGAAAGCCCTATGAAGTGGTATATAAGTCTAATTGCTATTGCTATTGCTATAGGAGCCTGGGAATGGTGAAAACAGCCCCCACCCCCCTGGAGGTACTCCAGAGGCTTCAGGGACCTTCAGGAGGCTTCCCTGAAGCCTCCAAAGGGCAAAAAATGATCCTACGAGCAAACCGGAAGTGACTTCCAGTTTGCTCGTAGGGTAGTTTTTAGTTCTTCTGAGGCTTCAGGGAAGCTCCCTGAAGGTCCCTTAAGCCTCCAGAGGGCTTAAACCGACCCTATGAGCAAACCAGAAGTCCGTTCCCGAACTTCCTCTTTGCTCATAGGGCCGGTGTTTTGCACTCCTTAGCCTTTAGGGAAGCTCCTGAAGCCTCCACGAGGGCGGTGGAGGCTCTTTTCACCCTCCTCAGGCTCCTATAAAGCCTCTGGAGCCTGGGGAGGGAGAAAAATGGCTTTAAAAAAGGCTGAACTCAGATGGCCAGCACGCGCATGCCCGTTGGCCAACTGACAGAGCAACGCCTCGCATGCCCTGACAAATGGCTCCACGTGCCACCTGTGGCATGCGTGCCATAGGTTTGCCATCCCTGTCCTATATGATTAAGCAAGTTAATTTGTTACTGCTTGGATTTTCCATTACAAAGAATTAAGCAGCAAGTAAAAAGTTTAACACAAAAAGTATAAAGTATAAAGTAGGGCACTGCAAGTCTGAGTGTGCTTTTTAACCTTTTCATTTCTTCCTGCCAGGACTTTATATTTTATGCTCCTCGCCTAAGAATCAACAAGAGAATCCTGCAGCTGTGCATGGGAAATCATGAGCTGTATATGCGCCGTAGGAAACCTGATACCATTGAGGTCCAGCAAATGAAAGCCCAGGCCCGGGAAGAGAAACACCAGAAAGAGCTAGAAAGGTGAGAGCAGAAGCATAGGCATTACAATATGGTTTAACTCAATTGGGGCCCCTACATTAAACATGATCATTTTTCAGAAGATATTTATTTATTTCTTTTATTTATCAACAAGTACAAAGAAACAAATATCAGTATAGACATAGACATGGACACATGAAAAATGGCACAAATAAATGAATATAAGTGAGCAAAACATAGCCATAAAATGACTACTAATGAGTACATATAAATGGGGACAGTAGGACAGGTATGGAGGGACGCTGGTGCGCTAATGCATGCCCCCTAATGTGTTGATATGTTGATAGTCTTACCATACCATAGCATCCATGGCAATTAAAGGGTTACCAGAAATTAAATCCAGAATAAGTATAGATTGGTAAGAGGCTATGCTGGCTGGGGGATTCTGGGAGTTGAAGTCCATAGGACTTAAAGTCACCAAGGTTGAGAAACACTGCCTTAGACCTTCACATCCCCTTTACTTCCTATATGGGTCCTTAATAGAAAAGTTTAGATCACCAATCATGAGTGATTAGAAATGCAATCATTACATAATAAGTACTACTCTTCATTTAAACAAGTGTTCAGATACTTTCATGTTGTTTTCTCCTGGTACTATGAAAAAAAAAATCAGAAAAGTGTGGTAAAATGTTTTGTAGCCTGTTCCAGTTCTAAAACTAATTTAATTTTATATCTAAAGAGAGATGTTGGAAAATGAGAAGAAGAAAAGAGAGACAATTGAGAAGGAAAAAGAGCAGATGATGCGAGAGAAAGAAGAGCTGATGATGAGGCTGCAGGAGTATGAAGTGAAGACACAAAAAGCAGAAAAAGGTACTACTACTACCATTGTGTTGTCGAAACCCAGATACATCTTTCTATGTTCGCCACTTCTGATCTGAGAAGCAGTGTTTTTACCAAGCAATAACAACATAAATTGTCACGGTAGTACTATAGATTGAGTTTCCTAATCAATAGAAATACCCAGACCGATAAACATCTCCTTCTGAGAGGAGAATAGTCTCACCCTAATGATCTCCCAGGATCTTGCTCTGAGGAAGAATCCCTCAAAGGGAGTGGGAAGCAGGAAGAGGCTTCACATTACCTTCAGCAACAGGGAATCATGACATGTTGTTGCCATCAGGATCTGATGTTTGGCAGCATTGCTGCATAGTTTCAAAGTATCAGCTTCCTATGTTAATAGTTTGGTTGACCAAAAAATTAACCTTTGAAGTAATGTTTGTGTGGTGTCAAGTGAATGAAATCAGAAGTAACTGATTATCTTGGCAGGTATATGATTGGACAGAGTTTTATAGATAGAAATCATCACAATGTGATTATAAAACCCAAATGGATGACATCTGCCTTCAATCTATAACTTGCTCACAACATGGACACATCCATGTTGGTTTCTTGGCCACAAAGCAAAGGTGATTTTCCTCTGCTTTCTTCTAAGATGTCCCAAAGGTACTTTTTTCAAAAGCCAACTGGATTTTCTAGGATTTTTTTTCTTTGAAAATGTTTTGCTTCTCCTCTAAGAAGTTTCTTCAGTTCAGTTTTTTTTTTTTAAAAACGCACCTTTGGGGCAACCATGACCTGGATTATTGAGAACAGACATTTCTTCTAAGATGTTTTCCAGTCTTCCACCTTAGTCAACAGCCTGGGGACTTCCTGCAAGTCGGCCAGTGCTGTCATGTCTGGTGACTAAAGCTGTAACTATTTATCTTCAAAGAATATCTTACACATAAAACGAGCACCAGCATTCCAAAAGCATAAGTGTATGGAAGTCAGAAGTCTTAATTGCATGTCATACTTAGCCATAAAGTGATAAGGTGAAGGAACTGCTCTACTCTGTAAATAATACAGGTAATCATTGATTTTTGACCACAATTGAGTCCACAATTTATGTTGCTAAGAAAGAAAATTGTTAAGTGAGTTCTGCCCCATTTTACAACCTTTCTTGCTGCAGTTGTTAAGTGAATCCCTGCAGTAGTTAAGTTCGTAACACAGTCGTTACATGAATCTGGTTTCCACATTGACTGCTTGTCAGAAGGTTGCAGAATCTGATCACATGACCTCAGGACACTGCAATGGTCATAAATGTGAGTCAATTGTCAAGCATCCAAATATCAACCTGCTGCAATCGTCATAAGTGTAAAAAATGATCATAAGTCACTTTTTTCAGTGCTGTTGTAACTTCAGTCACTAAGCAAACTGCTGTAAATCAAGGACTACCTGTACTACTTTTTCCCACAAGAAGCCCAGAATGGTGCAATTTCTAAAGAGTGGTATTTTTTTTTTTTTTGCCAGAGCTCTCAGACCAGATCCAAAAAGCCAGGCAGCTGGAGGACGAAAGAACAAGGGCCCAGGTGGAAGCAGAGCGCCTGGAGAATGAGCGTCTGATGGCTCTGCAAGCTAAGGAAGAGCTGGAGAGACAGGCGGTTGACCAGATAAAGAGTCAGGAGCAGCTGGTATGAATCGGAGGCATTTCAGAAGGAAACTTGGAAAATAGATATGAATCTTAGCAAAGTAGTTGGGCTAAGTTCGTCAAGCATCATCAATAGTTATAGCTTTTTAAACCTTGCCTTTGGTTCTCAAAGCCTTCATGCCAATCTACAGTGAATTTTCAAAGTAAATTTAAAGCATATAAAGATGATAATGATACCTAAAATAGATACAGTACAGAAAATGGACAACACAAACCAAATATTTCCTGAATCAATGACAAAATAAAATTTAAGGACACATCAGTTTTTACAGAACAGGGACTTCTACAATCTAGTGCTGCTATAGAGAAAGTGGTTGAGCTGCATTTGAGCTGGAAATGAATTAAAATCCCTGCAGGGATCAAAGATATCTGATAGAAAGAAATTCTCTTTTCTTATCACATGTGCCTTCCTGAAATGTTGCATTATAGCTCTCAGATTTTCTAGGCATTATGCGTAAAATCTGGCTCAGGATACTGATAGTTGCAGATCCATCATATCTGGAAGGTACCAGATTGGGAACCGTTTGCTTAAGTTACATTGGCTATAAACTAGTTTTTAATGTTCTAACTTGCAGCCAGAAATAAAATAGACATTGTTGATGCTGCAGGAATAGACAAATTGGTTTTTTATAGTTGGGGCTGACAAATTTTATTCGGGCAATATTCAATAAAATTTGTGAAAGTTCTCTTAAGGCCAGCTTAATAAAGTTGGATGTTAGTTATCCAGCCTTAGCATAAAGTTTGCCCACCTAGGTTTTACTTTTTTGAAGCTGCTACGGTATCATTTTCTGACCCAAGAACAAACAAAATATCCCACCGCATCCAAAACCGGAGGCTCTAGGAATAGCGAGCAGTTCTGTTACTGATCCCAAGTACTTCTATCTCATGTAGTTTATTTTTCCCACCTTTCAAAAAAGGCTACAGAACTTGCAGAATACACAGCCAAGATTGCTCTTCTGGAAGAGGCAAGGAAGCGTAAAGAGTCTGAGGTTGAAGAATGGCAACACAGGGTAAGTTAATGTTTTCCACTCTTGTTTTACTTTCAGCGTTTTAGCAACTTTAGGTCTTCCCTGGATCTTGATTACAACATGGTTCATTGGAAATATAGATTGTATAGTCTATTGTCCTATAAAATTTGCTATACTATAAGAATATAAGAGGGACACGGTGGCTCAGTGGCTAGAATGCTGAGTTTGTCAATCAGAACGGTCGGCGGTTCGAATTTCTAGCTTTGCATAACGGAGTGAGGTCCTGTTACTCATCCCAGCTTCTGCCAATGTAGCAGTTCAAAAGCATGTAAAAATGCAAGTAGAAAAATAGGAACCACCTTTGGTGGGAAGGTAACAGCGTTCAGTGCATCTTCGACGTTTATGAGCATACATACCTAACCAAAAGACGGTATTGTTGACCAGTAAATTTCCATTAGGTCCTTGACTGTCTATAATTCCTATATTTTTATATATATTTCTGGATCCTGCTTTCTTTACTGAGGCCATCCTTTCAAAATAATTTTCTTTAATAATTATAAGGACCTATCATGTAATGTAATATTTAAATTGTTTTCTCTCAGACATAGATAATAAGACCTCATCCTATCCACAGCAATATCAGTACAATCCAAAACATAAATTTATCACTGTTAAATTAAAACAAAAACCTCTAGACATCTCAAAAATTATTTCCTTTCCAGGTTCATTAGAACTGGATTGCAATTGATAGTTTTGCAACATTAGTAACCATCATTGATGCACTCTGTATAATGGTTTGCTTAAAATAGCTTTCAAAGGTTTGTGATCAGGCCGTACTGAAACTTCTTCTCCATAAAAGAAAGCAATTAAAAATCCTGACTCTAGTTGAATATGGAACTCCTCACTGAAGCAATACTGCAGCTAAACCAGATACGCTGCCATTTCCTGATACAGTTTTGTCACATTATAATATTTATATGCAGATTCAATCATTAATAACACTTAAAATTTATTAATTGTTTCTTGTACAGCTATCCACTAAAATCCCATGTTCTGTAACAACAATTAATTGAATTGAATTGTCACAATTGTCATTCCTGTGAAAAAAAATGGCCATACTGAAAAAACACTATTCATTTATTTTCTTCTTGGTATTTTAACAATGGCTTCACTCTTTATTTTTGTCAGGTTTGCCATTAGAGGTTAGCAGATGTCCTAACTACTTTACCTCAGTCCAAATTAACACAAGATTTAAATCAGTAACTGCTTCTAACTCTGGACAATTTTATATAGGCTATAAACTTAGTATTCAGCCCCCTTGTGAATTTTAAACATTACAGTTTTATAGCATTAATAACTAAACAAACAGCACATTCAACTTCTAAACCTTCCATTACAACTTCTAAACCAGTCCATTACAAAGCTCCAAAGAAGTTCTTCCTCATATAACATACAGTACATAATGTTTTAGTTTTAACTTTTTTTGTTCTTAGTTCTTCACTTTTTATCAAAGATTCAGCCACCCACATTTTCTGCATTCTTTTCCAACCATTGCCCATGTGCCTTTGAGAACCTGTATCCCAGACATGGGTGCTCCCAATTTTTGGTCTTTGGCATTGGAGCTAATGACTGGAGGTTTAAGCCTTTTTCATTACTTCTCAGAATAACCAGTTCCTTATCAGTACACCCAAGGTCTTTTAAGTGAGTTACAGCCTACTCCTCAACTCTGCAAACATCAACAACATGTTCCAGAGTTAAATCATCTGTCCCTAAAACTCTGACTCTTACTCTTTCAAGTCTTGTTCCACCTAGTCACGTAACTGTCCAAACTCACAAGACTACACTAAAAGTTTTAATTCTGCTACATAAGCCTCTCTGTTTCATTGTAAAAAAATGTATTCCTCCCTTATGTAATGTCCTTGCTTGATACATAGCAAGTTTCAGATTTCTGAACACCTGCAACATCTGCTCATTAAACTTCTCTGCAGAATTAAATATTAAACATGTCTGTTGTCTCCTTCCCATCAACAAGTTGAAACAAGACTGCTTGTAATTTCTTATTATTTTTATTGGCCCCACTTGCCACAATAAAACTCATATAAAGCTTTGTTTCCATCTTCTCCAAAATTCAAACAAAACTTACACCTAGAGACAGTTGATTACACCTGCACCATACGCAAAGCTTTTCAGTTGACTTCTCTGTTTACACAACAGACATATATAATAAGGAAGACAAATTCAGTACACAGGTAGACTTTATTGATAACTTGCAGGTTACATTATCGTTAGAGCCATTCATGCAGAGATGGCTCCTTTTATCCATATTCTTCTTGCAAGTAATACATTGCAACATATAACTATACATATTTGTATAGTTGCAACATATAACTTGTGTTTTCCAAATACTATATTCAAATTCATATTGCGTCTAATAGTATAAGTAATGCATAGCCATTGTGACTGGATTAGTAATACTGGGAGCTTTATTCCTCACAGGTTTGACTATTGTCTTTTAAAAACATTCAAGTTTAGGGAAGTAATTTACTCTATTTTGAGATAGAGATTCCATAGTTAAATACGTCAGGAAACAGCTTCTCATCAAACAGCTGGTCAGGGGGCTAACCCATTGAGCCATGTGACATAATTTAGGGGAACATAAACCCCATTTGCCAATATGGATGGGTAGAAAAGTGCATCTGAGCTAGAAGGACGATAGTCTGAACATAGTCATTGTGAAAAGGAAATGAAGGCCTGGTTGAAAATTATTAATTGAGATATTATTAAATTATCATCTGTATATTTGAAGATTATTTTGGGAACACATGAATTGTCATATCAGATCTCGCCTATTTTCTAAATAACATTATCACTGAAAATATATTCTTGGTTTCCCTTTTCTAGGCTAAGGAAGCCCAAGATGATCTGGTGAAAACAAAGGAAGAATTACACCTGGTAATGACTGCTCCACCTCCTCCACCTCCACCTGTATATGAACCAGTGAACTACCATGTCCATGATAATTTTCAAGATGAAGGAACCGAGTCCTCTGGCTACAGCGCAGAATTCTCAAGTGAAGGCATACTGAATGATCGTAATGAAGAAAAGCGAATTACTGAAGCCGAAAAGAATGAACGTGTCCAAAGACAGCTGAAGGTAGGACTTACTGCACAAGAGAGAAAGATGATAATTGAAATTTATCTTTTTTTAAAGGCTTAAGAAAGGTTTCACATTTTATGGGGAAAGAAGATAATGACGTAGGATATAATCCAAAAATCTTTTCTACCATGTATCTTATAGTAAAAGGTAGAAATGGGTTTGCAAATTTAAATGATTTAGATCTTCTATCTTCTTCTAACGCTAACCATTATAGTCTCTTAGACATGACTATGCTTATGACCATAGAATGATATGTACAAAACTCACCCTCAGATAGTATTTGCAGAATTTCATATTAGTTTTTTGTTTTCCTCTTGTCAATTTGACAAATTTATTATTTGTGCAAGTGTGTAATACTGTGTTTAAATGTTGTAGACGCTGACCGATGAACTAGCTCAGGCCAGAGATGAAGAGATGAAGACTCCGAATGACCTCATCCACACAGAGAACATGCGACAAGGCCGAGACAAGTACAAGACACTGAGACAGATACGACAAGGGAACACCAAGCAGAGAATTGATGAATTTGAAGCTATGTAAATGTAGTTTCAATGAAGACTCTTGAAAATGCAGATTTTGACTGTTGAGACGTTTCTTCATGAAAGGTCACTTGCAAAGTCATAGTAGTAAATAAAGAAATACTCACACACTGTCAGGTGTCAGCTGAATTTAATAAAAGCAGTCACCAGGATTTAAGTATAATAAGGAGAACGGTCACAGAGATGTAGTAAAATCTTATTAATATTGTGTCAAAAAACTAATGTCAAAGGGTGTCTCGCAATCACTTTTTTTTCTACACATTAAAAGAGTTTTGCAGCTTTAATAGAGGGCTTTTTACTACCACAAGTATATCCAGATTTTTTTAAGGTGTGGGAAAATGTTGTGCCATGTTTCTTGTTCTTAAACACCCATTGTATTTGAAGATTATAATGTTAAGTCTCAAGTAAGTCCTCCATCTCACTTCCTCTTGTTATTGCTGTAAAAATGTCACAAAAGGACTCTAAAAAACCTTCCATCTGGAATCGGACAGGTTCCCCATGATCACTTAAAGGGGGTGCACGACAGACACACTTGGATGCCTCTCTTATATCACAGATAGAGGGAAATTGTTGGTGTTCAATATTATTCAAGTATTGAACTGCAGCTTAACCAGTCAGCTGTAGTATCATATTTATAATATATATATACGTATATACATAAGGATGTTAAAAATATAAATAGCATATAATTCTAGTTTGAAAAGGATTTTTTTTGCTTTGTATATTTTGTTATTATTTCTTGACTTGTTAAACAAAATATATTTTGGGGAAAACATCTAATCTCTTGGATGAGGCACAATCTAGAAAACATTTGTAAAGATGATTTTTTTTACTTGAAAGAAAATTGTAATGCATGCCTGTGATTCAATACAAATAATTTCACTATTCCTATTTTTTCTAGCAAATTTTCTAATTTTTTAAAAATGGTACCGTTTCAGACTCCATCCATGAAGGGGCTTTTATCAGCTTTTTAAAATATCTCTGTTGAAGAGAGTTGCTATAGATTTGCCTCAGAATCCCCTTGTTAACCTCCATTTGACCACCATCACCTCCTAGCCTCCCCCCTTCCCCTCCCCCCCAGGGGGGGTGCAAATCCCATTTTAGGTTTGGGAAATCATCAGCGCCAAGAGTGCAGTATGTTGCTAGTCCTACTTTACATACAACTTTCTATGCTGCTTTGTATTTTGAAGTTTATACCTCTGGAATCCTGATATAGTGTGGTGGGATGAATTGTTGAATGCAATCGGGCCATAAATAAAAATCTGCAAGGCAACTTTTTTTTCTGCTTAAATTTCTCCATTTCTTTTTTTCTGAAAAACTATTAACCCGTTTGTTTAAGCAACAGGGAATATTAATAATAAAACAGAAAGGTAAAATAATTATGGAAGAAATTATGACACAAAGTAAATTTTTAATAAAGTTCAATATGCAAACTAGTAACATAGAACAGCAAAATATTTGCCTTGGATGCAAGGTAGAAATTAGTAACAATAAGCTTTAACCAGTATAGTAAGATTTTTAAATATTGTGACCCGTGTTTAGCCTTAATCATAGTCTAGCAACTGAACCAGCTGATTACTGAATAGTACTAAATAATAGGAATGGCAGCTGCAATCACCTCTATTGGAGATCAGATAGCCAACAATCTGCATGATAGTACTTCTGAGGAAGGGTGGGGGTTTTTTGTTTTTATTTTTGCTTTCCTGTTTTCTGCAAAGAACAAAGTCTGCAACAGCCTGATCAGAGCCACCACATCCAGGATTCTGAAAGGCTTAGTGTTTGTTTCCCAGGAAAGAGGCTCCTACTTGTGCATGATGAAAAAATCAATGTGGAATGAAAGAACTGGTGGCTTCTGTATTCCATGTTATTTTCTTGGAAGTCTAGTGATTGTTTAACTTTAGACTGGGTTTGGAAAACATTAGACTGAGTCTGAGCTAAACCTGTAACAGGCCATAATTACATCTTATGAGTAAAGCATGTCTCCTTAACCAGGGCCTAACTTATTGTTTAGATTCTCCACATGAACTTAACCTGATTTGTGTCTTGTAAATGTATGTCTTTGTTTCACCTCAGTTCTAGGTAAGTTTGCATTGTCTGTAGCCTTGTGAATATCAACAATAATTACTTGACGATGAGAAGGGGGGTGTTGCCCCACCTTTTTTTTAGCTTCATTTGTTCACCAGGACAGCACATTTTCACATTTATTCAAAAGCCAGTGCAGCATTCTGCATTCCCATTTTATCAGGACCTTGAGTTCATGAAGATGTGTACAACCCAACATGGTATTTTGTAATTGCCAAATGACCCATATTATTTACTCCTTCCATTTATTAAAATGAGGTTGATTGTAATTTAAATGGGGAAGTAGCATACTGTAAAATTAAGTAGCATCTTTAGTAATCATCTTCATCTCCCAGATGACATTTGGTTCCAAATGTGATAGTTTCAAAACATGTTCTTAGTTTTAAAACAAAAAGATGGCTACAGATTCCCAGATATTTTTGCAGGCAGTAGTGTTAAAAGAGGTAATACTTCTTGTAAAAGATGTTCCAGTAGCACTATAGGATACCCTGAGTATATTTCGTATTAGTAGGTTTTCCCTTTGTTTTTTCCTATCCTGACATTAGAATATATGTAATGCTTGTCTAAATAATCTTAGCACTTCATAAAAAGACTGCTTTTCTATGTAAAGGATACAGGCATATGGAGAGCACAAGAAATAGACACAAACAACTGTCAGTTGACTAAATATTCTGTTCAAAGATGCCTCCTGAGCTGCATTTTTATAAACAAAACCGTATATAACTTTCTCATAAAATAGCAGTAGCTATGTCACCCATGAGGAAAAAAATAAAAATCTTTATTAGGGCCAATAGAAGTTTCATAAAATAATTACAAGTTTCAAAGTTCATTTTTATATAATTGTATTCAAAGTTTTAAAAAGGAAGATAAAAACTAATACAAACTAATAAAGGGAATTTGAAAGAAAGCTATGATGTGCAATAAAGGAAAAAATAGAAGTGGCTTCTGATCTTCACAGCAAGTTATAAGTACAATTATAAATTTCCCTTTTACGCTTAAGTTTACAAATGACTTCTCTTTCTATAATCTATTCTGTCGAATTATAAAACCATAAATCAAAAATCATTTTTCTGGTTTGTGCAAAAAGTCCATAAAGGGGACAGTAAATCAGTAAGAAATATTATTTCTCTGACCAGAAAGTATACATTGATATATATTAATCTTTAAAATCTTCTGATACTGTATATGTATTTGAATTAAAAGTTTCTAGCTTTTTTACATGTCTTCAAAGCATAACATGTCCCTCCTTGTTCGCATTTCAATTATTGTAAATTTCAATTATTTCAACCACATATTTCCCATTGTTCCATCTACATAATATAGCCCACTTTTACTTGTTATCCTGTTTTAAATTTCAATAAACCTTTATACATTTTAGCAATTTACATTTGCATTATTAGTACACAATTCTGCTTCAAATCCAGTCTTAACAATATTCAAAACCATAAATTCTATCAGCCTACCATAAGTAAGAACTCTTGATTTTATTTTACAGTCCCCTTGACAAAAAAAATTAAAAGACCTTCCAAAACCAATACAAAGTCATCTGCAAAAAGGCATTAACTTATATTTTTCTTTTTTAAAACTTTACTCCCACAATACTCTCATCTTATATTTCTATTCAGTTTTTCACAAACCAAACTAACCCGAGAGAGGAGATAGTGGGCAATCCTGTCTTACTCCTTTTTATTTCTCACAAGGCTTTGTTAAATGTCCATTAACATTTTTTACCTATTTTACCCAATTATTTAATAATGATTTGGTCTATAGGTTGTTATTTAAGTCAAATCTTGTTCTACATATCAAATCTTGTTATATTGGCCTCTTTCGAACTCTGGCATCTTTCCTCCCTGAGTTCCTGTAAAAGTTAATTTGTTTTGTAAAGAGTAAACATTCATCCTCAAAACATGTATAATAACCTGATAATCCATCTGGCCCAGGCACTTTGCTTGGTTTAAATCTTTTTTATGGTTTCAGAAACTTCCTCTCTTTTTATAGGTCCATTATCTGCTTCTGTTCCTCTGTAATCCTTGGTAATTTTTTGTTTTTTTAGATACTCATCTATTTTCTCCAGAGAGATGTCACTTCCTTTAAACAAATTGGAATAATATTGATAAAATACTTTCTGTATAGCCATGCTTTCTATTAATACAGTTATCTCCTTGAAGCTATTTGCCTTGAGTTCTTAAAGACTTTCAGACAGAATTAATTTACAACTTTACAAGATAATTTTCTATGTGGCAGGATAAGACAATTCCATTTGGTGAATCAACATTCTCTCTGAATTAAAAAGCAAATAAAAAGAAAAGTAGTTTAAAAGATTTTAAAACTTTGGCAAAAAAAGCTTAACAAAAAGTGGATGTAAGTTGGTTTAAAGTGAGTAAAGGAGAGTTGTTTTTAAAAATTATTTTTGGTGAAAGTGTTGAACAAATTAAAATAGTAAAATGAACTGAACCTTCATAGGAATGTTTATTGTTTACTATTAAAGAGTGCAAATAATTGGTAAATTTTACAAAACAAAAGATAAAGGCAATATGGGTCAGACTGATGCTGACTATAACAACAAAGAGCCATTTGAGAGGAAAGTAGGGCAAAAGAAGATAAAGCAAAAGAAAAGTGAGGGGAAGATTTCCTTTTACTCTATTCCTTGTAATTGAGACACTTTCACTTTTGGATGGCAATGGCACCCATTAAAAAACTGCAGAGGTGGGGAGAGGATCACTAGAGAAACCTGCAGAGAGAGGAATTGCATCAGATTTACTGCAGAAAATGTTTAAGAAATTAGTCTATAGGATAGTTGAATCCCTTGCTACTAAATTGACAGCTTTTAAAAAAGAATGGATCAAAGATTTGCAAAGATGAAAAAGGAGATGAAATAAACTGGTAAACCGTGTAAAACAAGCTTCTGGGGATGTAAATCTAATGACAAAATGGTGATTCTGGAAACTAAGACAAAATTTAAAGGACAGAGAATTGGAAAAACAATAAATAATTTGGCTCTATTGCAATTCAGAAGGATGCAATCCCAGAAAATTCTGGTGAAGAAATTTGGGGAAAGGTTGTTAAAGCTTTACCATTTTTTAACTGGAATAATGGGGATACAGAGGCTCAAATATGGTTTTAAGTAGAAGACTACCTGTACTGTTCTATAAAGGATTTATCGAGGGACTAATAGCTTTCTCTTAGGAAATCGGTGTTTGGTGGAAAATTGGAGTGATCTCCACACAACTGGATAGAACTTTTGAGAAAAATATTAAAATCACTCAGGTTTCAGAGTTCATGAGAATTCTACACAGACATAATTCATTAGAAATCAAACAAGGAGGAAAGGAAAAATATTGGCCCATTCTTGAGCCACCTTTATCTCAGTTTTCATTCTTAGATGTATTCATTATTTCTTCTTTGTTTAACGTCAAATAAAACATACGCAACTATTTTACAGTTGAACTGGATTTGGAGTAATTATTTGATTCAGTGGTACGCAAGGATGGGCTTCAAAAATTATAGTAAGGGGGTTCTCTGCCCGGTTTCTGGGTGGACATGGCCATGGTGGGCGTCGCATAGTCAGCCACCTGCATCATGGAGAGGGACTGTTTTTGCCCTCCCTGAGCCTCCATGTGTGCCCTGCACTTACCTGCATCCAAAATGGGCTGCATGGGGACTCCGGAGAGGGAGGGGTAGGCGAGGCCAGCCAGGAGTGGGATTTGGAGGTTCTCCAAACTGCACAGAATCTTAGCTAGTGGTTCTCCCAAACCCCTGCAAACCCCCAGCAGCTTACCTCTGGTTGTACGACCTTATGCATTGGGTTGGCTTTTAAATGTATATAGATCATTTGGCATTTGGGAAAGAATTGATTGCTACAGAAAGAGGCTAATAGGATACAAATCAAGCTGAGAATTATTCCATTTACCGTTGTTAGTGTCATATCTGCTAGTGTCATATTTGGTCCTTGAGTTGTTTATTAAAGAGAAGGCTATTACAAAGAAGGCTATTACAATAGGGAACACTAAAGTAATTTCAGCATGCAACCATTAGATAAGTAATTAACATGGATGGGTTTCAAAGTTTGTAAGTTTAAAATGCAAGCATGATTTTTAAAAAATCAGAAAAAGATCTAATAAAAAAGCAAAATGGAAAAGGCAGTAGTAAAACAGAAATGAGCATGAGAAAGAAATATTTATTCTTCATACCTGTGATAGAAGATGTGTCAGTTGAAAAGTTCCCACTGAAGAAATCATTCCATTAAGGGATTGTATTAGCTAACAGCACCTTTACAGGAATGTCTAATTCTTTGAAACATTATGTGACGACTTTATCAGGACTATACCATTTCAGATTCAAGGTGGAAGCTTACATTACTGAATACATGTATGTGTGTGTTTTGTTTTTAATGTAATACATCAAGGGAGGGTCAAACTCATGGTGTCACATCATCAGATGACGTATTGTGACTTTTTTCCCCTTTGCTAAATGGGGGGTGGGGTAGCCAGCATGTGACACATCTGGCCCACGGGCTGCAAGTTTGATACTGTAATACATGGACAATAAATGTGTCATTGGGAAGGCTTAGCTAGAATCCTTCATTATAACTTTCCTGTTTCTTATGTGCATGGAATGTTGATGTGTGGAACAGCATTCCATCAGATGGTCGTTCCCTTTGGAGCTTTTGGTCTGAACCTGGTTGTTTGATTAGAAATTTTAATATCCACACTCCGTAGCACTGATTATGTTACCTACAGGGGTAATGAAACATCTGAATGCAAACAACCAAACTCACAGAAAACAAAGAACTCCACAGTTCAATCCTGAGCTACATATATTCTTTTCTATTGGAGTCATTCTTTTTTATGAACTCTTAACCTAAGAAACAATGAGAATGTTTTTTGATGTTCCATGTGAAAGCTTTGTTACCACCTGAAATCTTCTACAAATACAAAATGAATACGTTTTGAGGGGGATAACATAAATGGGTTAAAAGACTAGTAGCAAAATTAGTATATATTGTGTTTTGTATTTTCTTTCATGCTCAAAACTGTTACACAGGAAAGGGGATGCTAGTAATTAGCCATCCTTATTAAATCACATGGTTTATAGATTTTTACAGGTGAGGTAGATGTCAAGAGAATAATATTCAAGAAGAGCAGTTGAGAGTTTTGCTTTTAATGGAATGTAGGATATAAAATTGTAAAAATAAATAATAATAAATGCCATTAGCCGCTTCTGATGAGCCATTCATATAATTGGTTGGCATACATATAAGCTTACTTCTAGCAAACACATAAAATAATAATATCGGAGTCAGCACCATCTTTTATTCATCTGTGTACAAAATTAGACAAGTGGTTTGACTTTCCTACAGATCAAGCTAGAAATCCTCATTTGTTATATTTTGAGAATGAAACTGGCTTGGGGAATATCTTGCTACTGATATCAAAATAATTATTATGTTGTGCTTTTTCCACGCAATCAAGAAATCCATCTACCACTATTACAATTTGACTCATTTTCATGCTTAGTTCTTAGTTCACCTGTAATTACTATTGTCAGTTAGTCTGGATTGTAATTCTTAACAGACCAAGATGTAGAAACTGAAAGTACTGCATGAAAATTCACTGAAGTGATTGATGTTATTCCACTACCATTTGAACATCGGATATTCACTGGTACAATGTGTGACCTGATATCCCACTATACTAAGAGGTACGGGCTAGCTAGAATAATGATCTTCTCTAAGAAAAAAAAAAAGAATTAACTCATTGAATCAAATCTAAGGCCAGGAATTTACTACATCCATTCAAATTCCGATGACTATATTTCATTAGATCCTTTTTTTCAGATAAGATATTTTCAAAACAGAAGTACAGAAGTATTGCACGGAAGTCATAGTTACCTCCAATTGTTTATCCTCCAACATTATGCCCTCAGGAGCACAGGCCTGTTCTATATGAGGATTCCCTTAAACTCTGGACTAGTTTTTAACTATGTTTTCCAATGCAAGCTAATGGCTATCATTATAACTTGAATGTGTTCAGACCAAATTTTAAAGCAGTCACAATGGCCGTCTACAAATATTTAAAATACTACCACATATATGATAGGACTTTTTTTTCTCTTTGCTCCAGGGGCATAGTAGAAACCAATGGGTTCAAAGGTATGTGAAACCGAACTTAGATTAAACATTTAAAGAATGATGAAGCAGAGTTCACTGAAAACTTCTGGTTTCTCTTCATTCGATATATTAAGGTATATTTATTTAAATAGTTTATATAGCCACACATTTCACAATAATGACTCTGGTCAGCATACAAAGATTAAAACACAACAATAAAATATAACTCATGATATTCTGGTTAAAAGACAACCCCAAAACAGAAAGGCCTATCATCAACAGTGCTCACCTAACCACCTGATCCAAATGCCAGGGGGAACAACAGGAATCTGTTGACCTAGATCAGTGGTTCCCAAACTTGGCAACTTTAAGACTTGTGGACTTCAACTCCCAGAATTGGGAGCAGAGCTGGCTGGAGAATTCTGGGAGTTGAAGTCCACAAGTCTTAAAGTTGCCAAGTTTGGGAACCACTGACCTAGATATTTTTTTTAAAAAAAAATAGCAGGAACAAACTTGTTTAATGCTTTGGATGGGACATTTGTGGAAGAGCCAGGAAATTCTATGGTCAGATGCTAGATCAAGAAGTCAAAAAATCCTGGAAGGTTACGACAAGGCATTTATACTGCTGGCAAACATAACCTACTTGGATGTGTTTATGAAATTGCCAGGAGTCAAGCTCAGCAATTTTACCTAGATAGCACAGAGAAGGGATTACAGGATCTCTGAGATGGATTCTAATTGCAATCTATTTTTCTAGTAATGAAAACACTTAACAACTACATCATTGGGAGAAAAATGAATTGCTTACGGCACATTGATTCTTAAAATCTGAAGAAACGGGAAACACATATAAATACAGCAAAAATAAATAAATCGAATGCAGTCATGTCCCTTTGGCTTTCAATTGGTACCAGTTGAATGACTGAGCAGAGTAGTTTTCAAAATCCCAGAATTCAAAATCTACCACCACTTCTCCGAGGAATACAGGATGTCTGAAAATTCCAGTGTGCCAGACGGATATCTGAAGCTGTCGGGATTGCAGTTGGGAATATTCAATATTGTACTATAAAGATAAATGGTGTTACTAATTGGTGTGAGATTAACAAATGCAATTTATACAGGTGCTGCCTTGTCATATAGCACTTTCACAGACTCCTGCAATAAATGACCACTATCTAAATTAGGGTTAAGAATGTTATGCCACAATTGATTGGGAGGTGGTCTAATAATCATTTAATCCTCAATCAAGTTACATCTAATGTTCTTCTTTCTTGAAGAGTGAGGCTGCCCAATCCCAATGAAAGCTGATCCAAAAACATAATGCTTTTTATCGAACCCCATGGGAGTTTGGCTTGTCTGCAGTTAGATCCGCTTTTCAATCTATGTTAAATTTAGGTCGTTTAAATTAAACAGCTCCTTTAAGTTTGATAAATTACATATCAATAATAGAAGATAAAGCATTTACCCAAATTGTAATATAATTCTGAAACCCTTTCAAATGTTGCATATTCTATCATATAATAAACCAGCTTCTCTTTTAGATCGTGTAGACCAGGGGCTTCAAACTCACAGCCTGTGGGCCAGATGCATCACATGCTGGTCACGCCCACCCTGTTTTAGCAAAGGGGGGAAAGTCACGATATGTCACATTACAACAACGTGAAGCTATGACAGGGGTGGGTTCCTGCCAGTTCTAACCTCTTCTATAGAAGAGGTTCCACAAATCTACAGTGCCGTTTAGAACCGGTTCCAGCTCCCTTCCCCCGCCCGTCCGCACATCATCAAGATGAAGAGCGAGAGGAGGAATTCTGGGAGTTGAAGTCCACAAGTCTTAAAGCTGTCAAGTTTGAACACCCCTGGTTTTTTTTTTTTCCTTAAAGGGTTAGGGGTGCAAGGGTCTTGTAACTTGACAGCCTTAAGACTTGCGTGCTTCAAATGCCAGAGTTTCTGAGCCAACATTTTGGTTGCTAAGCAAGAGCATTGTTAAGTGAGTTTCACCACATTTTACAAGTTGACCACGTCCACTCAGTCACATGGCTGACAAGCCACTCCCACCCGGTCACATGGTCAGCACGCCACTCCCACAAAGCAGGCCACACTTATAGAAGAGGTTCTCAAAATATTGAAACCCACCACTGCACCATGAGTTTGATATCCCTGGTTTAAATGCTGGAGTGTCACAAGATTTCTTCTTCAGCTCCAAAATGCTTAGACACTTTTACTTGTAAGTGTGACTCAGTAAGATATTTCCTACAAGTATTACTCAGTGGATACAAAGAGAGTATGGTAGCATCTTTTAAACTAACAAACATTTCTCCCTAAAAAGGGTAAAGGCCATTTGTATTTAAGAATCAATATTCAAGATTCAGAAATTCTATTAAATGCCACAAGTCATGTTCCTAAGTACAGTAATAGGCCATTGGTGTATATGCTTAGATATTTCTTCCTTAAGGATTTTTCCAGGCCGGGCAGTTTTCTCTACTATCAAGCCATAAAAATGAACAAGATCAGCACACTGGTAACCATTCCCACTCTTTGCATTCAGAGTACTAATCTCTGAACATCAACTACCATCATATTATGTAAAATGCTGCAAAAATCCTGGACAATAGCAAACAGATCTCTCAAAAGGCATACCTAGGCTTTAAAAATCCAAACACTCCTTTAGATTGGAGCCCAGAAATTTCCCTTTACTGTTATCTTTTGTTTGTTAGGATTTCACTGCAGATCTAATAATCCTAATACAGTAATACCTAGTTTTTAATCTACATAGTAATTTTATAGAACTGTTTTGAATTATCCCTTTTATTCTGATAGGAGCTGTTTTTATAAACTCATAGGAAGAACGTTCGCTCATATATTTTTTTAAAACTGCATGTTGTGCTCTTCCTTGACTCTTCACAGTATGACCAAGAATTGCTGAGAATACCTTTAATATTTCTTGGAATGTTGGATTCAGTGTGTTCTTTTTGACAGAAGTCTTCCGTTTATTCTGGGGAGATTTATCAGGCAGCAAGTAAGTCTTGACGTATCTTTCAATCAAAGATAGAGATAACAATTAACACTTGTGAAAAGAAGAGAGGAAGGAAATAAAGGCATAAATAAAGAGAGCGTAGTTAATTAATGCCTCTGAAGATAAATTGCATGAAGTTACTCTCTTAGTTTCAAAAATGCAGTGTTGACTTTTTTGCACTTGAAGAGTAAGAAGGACTTCATAGGCTGGTTTATACAATACAATAGCAGAGTTGGAAGGGATCTTGGAGGTCTTCTAGTCCAACCCCCTGCCTAGACAGGAAACCCTATACCATTTCAGACAAATGATTGTCCAACATCTTCTTAAAGACTTCCCGTGTTGGGGCATTCACAACTTCTGGAGGCAAGCTGTTCCTCTGATTAATTGTTCTAACTGTCAGGAAATTTCTTCTAAGTTGCTTCTCTCCTTGATTAGTTTTCACCCATTGCTTCTTGTTCTACCCTCAGGTGCCTTGGAGAATAGTTTGACTCCCTCTTCTTTGT